TGCCAGGTGTCACGCGGCCTTATTCAGGCCGTTCCTTCGTTCCTTGGGCCGCTCCATGCCCTCTTTTCCTCACGTCCTACTCACTCCGTGCTCCGCGCCTCGTATTCGTCCCTTAAAGACCCCGCGGCCCGCGGCGCGCTGTCCACGCCCTGTTTCTCGGCCCCTGGCTTCCCTCCTCTGGACAAGCTGCAGGACTGCAGTCCGCACAATCAATTTCTCCGTCCGGGCTGCCCCGCCCCACCCAGCCCTTGGCTGTCCACGCCATCCCCTCCGCGCCACTCCACCCCAGACAAGCCTCAAAGGGGATTTCCTGTGGAGGCAGCCCCGGCTCCGGAGGGGGCTCTCCGGCTGCTGTGACGGGCCGCTATGGAACCTGTTTTATTCATTGAGGCACAGAGACACTGGAAGAAATAAACGATTTATTCCCTAAACAGGACCAAAGCTTTGCGAAGCTTCGACTGTGAGTAGTAGGGAGAGTGGGGCATATGTGGATCATGGAAGACATTTGGATTAGTTCCGGTCCCTGCTACGGAATAGCTTATAGCAATGACTAAAAGTTACTAGCAGTAACAATTGCAAAAACTATTCACTGGTAAAACAAGTGTGCAATATTTGCACACCAAATGTGTGCAAGTTGTGATGTAGCACATTACATGGTGTTTAACTCAAGTTGCACACTTGCGTGTGCAAATTTTAGACGTTCTGTAAACGTTTAATTTCTGCACACTTCGACACACACAGCTCTATGCTGTCAATAGGGGACCATACGGTGTGCATGTGCAGCTGCTATACGTTTCGGAAGTGTCGAAAGTTTAAACACCAATTGACGTATATATATAGCTGCGAGATCAGCATAAGGACTGAAATGGGCCCAGAAAAGTCTGCCCTAGAGCTTCGCTCGCTACGCGTGCTCAGCAATAAGCGATTATTATTCAGTGTTCATTACGATTTGAGTGTATTCACAGTACACAAAATTGAGAAGTCGTGTCTCCTCAGTGTTGAACTCCCACCGTTCCGCTGTCAAACAAAATAAGGTAAGGATCCTAATGCCTGGTGTATTTGACAACAGTTATGTTTAACAATATGGATGAGTGCCTAACACAACTCGACCTCTGCTGAACCTACCTCTCACAGCGCACTATACGCACGCTGTAAAAAAATCATCTAATACTACGGGACTGGCAACGGACATTCCGTTATAGCATATTTCAAAAAAGAGGTACGGAAGAACCGTTTGAGTTCGACCATGTAACTAAAGTTAGGGTACGGACGTGTCCGGAAAATAATTGCCGCTTATATCCGTTAAATACGTGATACAGTTGCTCCGTACCCCAAAAATGAGGTACGGAACAACCCGGAGCAACCGTTTTGCTTTGACCGTACAATTAAATTTAGGGTACGGACACGTCCGGAAAATAATTGCCGCTGTCGTCCGTTGATTTTCCGTTGTTTTTTCTCACAGTGCAGACTTCCTGCAGTGTGCTCGCCATTTCAACTCCACCTGCACAGAGGTGAGACGCTCTGACGTGACGTCTCCAGCAAGCTGTCATGGCGCCTGGTAGATAGGCATCATCTTGCCTTCAGGGCATGCGGGCACGGCGGTTGGCCTACCAGGCGCCGAGCTCCAGCAATTTGCTGGATAAACGATAAATCTTCGAAAGACAAACGTATTCTGTAGACCTGCCCGCTACACTGTTAAAAAAATCGATTGTAATTTAACAAATATTGTAGGCAACTTTTTACGCAATTCAATTTTTGTAAAATTACAAACTAAAACAACTGTAAAAATGTTTTGAAACGTGTTTTGAAAGTCCAGATCTCTGATCTGAAATTTAAAAACTGTAATTTTCAAAACATCCATAATTTTATAATTTTACAACAAGATTAAAGAAATTTGCCTTGAACATGAAGTTGGTGAACTAAAACTATTCAAGGGGTCAGTCAGCTGGTTGGGTTGAAGGAGTGCCAGTTGCCTACACAGGCAATACCACAACAAAGCTGCGGGAGCGCCGATCAGGCGCCCCTTACAAGATGAGTGCGGACGGAGCCATACCTAACTATAGAGAGGTTGCGGGTACCGGCGCGCGTTAGAATTAGATCAATTATTTTGGGCACTTGCGTGACTTTTTGCTCAAAATCAAAGATGTAGACAGCTACAGCAATGTGTTACAGGCGATACCGCTCAAAAATACATGTCAGTTCCTGGTGCACCACAACGCCATCCTACGGCAATTCTTTGAAGCCACATCGGGCTTATCAGTCTGGACCGAGGGGGAAACGACTGTTAAACTTTGTGTCAGCCGAATTACTGATTACCCGGATTACCTCTGGAGTGTCCTCCGGATTACGTTGCTTTTTCTCAAGGATTACCCCGGATTACCCCCAAAATTTTCCCGGATTACCCTAAAATTTCCCCGGATTCCCACGGATTTTTTAGAATTTCCTCGGATTACCCCTGTCGGATTACCTTTCGGCTGTCAGCCGGATTACCTTAGTCGTTTCCCCCTCGGTCTGGACTTGTGCAGGCCCTGTTTAATTCGGCTTTACTTCGCAAAATTACAAATCGCAATGTATTTATTATTATTATTTTTGAGGGGGGGGGGCGGCTTCTTCTACAGTTTTTGATAGGAAGCCTATTTTGCGAGTTGATAGACCATTTCTAGTCATTTCTGGAGCCGCCCACGAGAGAGGTCCTCCCTGACTGTAGGCGGTTACTCAGACCTGCTGGATATCTGGGGAGGAAAATTACATTGCCCAAGGCAAACAAAGTATTTTTCGGACGTTGAAAAAAAAAATCATCCTTGTAATCTATTCGTCTATTTGATTTAGTCAGTTTACACGTCAGGTGCGGCGTGGGTAGGCAATCTTATGTTAGTGGGACCCTCAGCGTGGATCACTCCGCTCCGCTCTCGTGCTTAGTTTTTTCTCCGCGCAACACGGGCAAGGACAATCCAAGTGACAGGAGGGAAACATTAGAATTCCGGGGCACAACAAATGCCCATTGTATTGGAATTACCACCGAACTGCCCTCTGTCCCTTACAAGGCGCGCGCCTCGGAGCAACAGCGAAACTGGCGATGTGCACCTGGGTCCTGCCGCTACCTCACTCGTCACGCACCACAGGTTCCTGCGTGGCCCGCAAGAGGCCGTGGCCCCCGTGGGCGGGTCAGCGCAATTTCCACAGCCTTTGTGGTTGCAGGGGCTTAAATCACGCTAAATGGGGGATGAATCGACGCTCTGTCAGAGGCCACAGCCGCGCCCCGTCCCGCTCGGCCCATGTTCCCCACAGTAAGAGTGGACCGACTGGAGGTACAGGCAAGGGAAAGCCAGGACACGGCCGACAGAAGACCGCCGGAAAACCCTCCCGTCAGAATAGTGCTTCGAAGTGTTCTCCGCGCTAGCAAAGCCTAGTGGAGAGGGAATAATCTAATCCACCGCAGTACGCAGCGCAGGGTGGGTTCATTGTGCACTCGTCAAACACACGCAATAACCCAACTTGAAGAGTTTTTGAACAGATTCACTGTTAATCAGATTCTGTGACGTCACATTCTATGCAATGTGAATTGTGTCACATTAGATAGAATATCATGTCACATTCTTTAGAACGTTATATATAGTTTTGCACCGCTCTCCTCTTAAGGGCTCAGGGCATGAGAGGCATACCCTTGTTACGTTAAAACGAATGCGACATGAAATTCTAATGTGACACAATTCACATTTTATAGAATGTGACGTCATAGTATTTGAATAACAGTGTTGATGACGGTGTCAGAAGAGCATATGACGAAGGGTGGTTTTGTGAAAGGGGCAACGCGGAGTAGTGAAGCTTGTGCATACCCCGTGCCCCCGCGCCAGCCGCTGGACGCAGGGTATTGACGAAACAAACCTCGGGCCATCGTCAGCAAATATAAACCGTGACAAAGAAGAAGGAAAGCCACGACGAACATTACTTTCAACACCGCTTTTTCGGGAGAAGTGTCCCAAGAATATAGAAACACCAGCCGCCCAAGCGGCCCACTTCAAGCGGTGAAAGTCGTTGGTCGCGCCATACTCCCAACTCGAGCGTCGGGCCTCGGCGATACTCCACGCCAGTGCGTGGAGGAGCAGCGGGGTACCGCCGCATTGCACACCCAACCGACATAGGGAAAATGAGGCAAAGGGGCATGGTTAGGAGGGACGGGGCAGGCATACGCAAGGTCACAAGGGCGCTTAAACGCTGATTAATACATAGGCACCTACACTACAGGGCTTTAAAGTTAACACCTGTGGCCGGCACTGCCCGTGAGAACAGGCCGCGGGCTCCGAATGAACACGCCCGATGCCTAGTTAAATCATTGACGTCGTCAGAAATTAGTGTCAACACGGCGAGAACGGCGCGGGCGCATGGGCACCTACTAGTCTGCACGGCGCCCTCGTCAGCTTCGGACGGTTTGAGTGCTTCGGTTGCAAACGGCCTTAGGCCCCCTGTAAACACGACATGGAGTCGCTACCAAGTATCGCGGGGGAGCTCGCCGGGAAGCACGTGTTCGTGACCGGGGGCTCGGGGTTCATGGGCAAGGTGCTGGTGGAGAAGCTGCTCCGGTCGTGCCCGGAGGTGGAGTGCATCTACCTGCTGCTGCGGCCCAAGCGAGGAGTCAGCGCCCAGGACCGGGTGGAGCAGATCGTCAAGACGCCGGTAAGATCGACTGGATGAAATGGAAAGCAAAGCAACTAATTAGGGAGGGCCACTTGCAAACCTGTCACAATTGTGTACTAAGGCCAAGATCATAGTCAATATGCCCCCCCCCC